CTTCCTCCCTCCTCCCCTGCTGCCTATCACCTGCTCCCTTCCCAGACGGCCTTGTTCTTCCAGGTCAACTCTTTACACACCTTCCCTTGCCTATTCATGCAGGGTGTGTTTATGAGCGAGGGAGGAGGTTAAAAAGAAAGGAAAGCAAGCAAGCCATGTCAAGGCAACCGATTATATTTCGCCGTCGACGCAACGGAGGGAGGAGAAAAGAGGCGGATGGTTAATTGATAATTAATATTCTTCCTGTTCACGCTCTCAAGGTTCTTTCCCAAGACGAGTGCAAAACACGCAAGAACAACCCACAGGGGTTTCCCCCCCCCCCCCGCCTGCCTCCCATCCCCGTATCCACCTCGAGAGTGACTCGCCGCATTGCTAGATCACAAAGGCCTGGCCTCACGTATCTAGAGGGCCACAGCAGCTCCTCCTCTCCCTTCCTGGCTCCGGATCCAGGCGAAAACTGACCGCGGCGCATCTCTGTCGCCCCACTCCGCACACATAACCCTCTCACAAAACGACCCTCTCTCTCTCACACACACACACAGACGGCCCCACCTCCGTCGCCTTTTCTTTCTCAGGCCGGCCTCTCCCTATAATGACAGCCGCCCTATTCGATTCTAAGGCCCAGTCTGCCCGCCGCAGGTACCCGGTTCTCCCTCCTCCCCACTTTTCTTCGCTCCCCCCCCCCCGTAGTCTCTCCTTCCTATTTACCTAAAGCCACCTCGCAAGCTTTGCGCAGCTGGGAATGATGCGCCTTCTTCACCTCCTTGTCGGCCAGGATCTTCTCCAAAGCCCGTGTCAGGAACATATTCTTCGTCTTCTTCCCCTCATACATGAGGGCGCGCTGAAAGTGAGGGGAAAGGGGAGGATGAGCGGAGGTGATTGTCAGGGCTGCGCCGGCTGAGACCCGAAGAGACTTTCCGGGGAAAGGGTCTTCTCTCCCCTCCTCGGAGGAACCGAAACCGGCTCTGACCCAGGCGGCTACCGCAGCCCCTGCTCGACGCGGAGGAGGAGGAGGAGGGACGAATCGGCTCTCCCAAGAACGCAGCGCTGCCCGTTTGCCTCAGCCTCCATTAGAAGCAGCGGCAGAAGCGAGAGCGGCAGCAGCAGCGGCGGCGGCGGTGGCGCCCAAAGCAGCAGCCTCCCGTCCTCGCCATGTTGGAAGGAAACGACGTCAAGGCCGGAGCCGAGTGGTTTACAGAGGAGGAAGCGGCAGCGGCGTCGAGGTTGCTACAGCTGCTGTTGCTTCAAGGCCGGGAAAAGAGGGCGCAGCCGCAAGGGGGGGGGAGCGAGCGAGCAAATAGCGGCGCTGCCAGTCGCGCAAGGTAGAAAAGGGGAGCAGGGACTGGCTGGTGGCCGCGCGCAACAGGTGCGGGGAGGGCGGGGCCTGGGATTCCTCTTCGGAGAGAAGGGACGGAGGAAGGGATTGGAGGCCTTCCCGCTCGCCTCCCGCCTTCTCCCGCCATATTTGATTTCTCTGAAGACTCCGTCGCCTAGGCCGGCTTCTTCTCTCCGGCGACTGAGAAAGCGGTTGGAGCTTCAATTTCTTGGCCCCTATTCGCCCCACGATGGGAAAGAATTTACCGGCGTCTGGGACTCGGAACCGATTCGACTCGACCAAGCTGGGATTTTTCCTCATTGATTTGGGCTGTAAAATGAATATAGCGAAGCTGAGGGGGAAATTGGGTTTTTGTGACCAAGTACTTCCTTCGAGGAACGGCTACGGAGCTGGTTTGTAGTTTTTATGTCTGGCGGACTGTACACCGATGCCTGTAATAATCCTTGCATTCAGTTTTAATGTTTTGAATCTTTATTCTCAAGTATGTGTGGGTAGATTCACGCAGAAGAGTGTGTGGGCATCTTTAGTATTAACAGATTGATTAAACTGTGGAATATTATGCCTGTCTTCAAATGCAAACGTTGTGTATTAAACATATTGTAAAGTTTTTCGAGCTAGTTTACTTTTGTGTTATAGAAAGACAAAACAGTGATAGAATTCTATATCCTATAGTGGAATTACTAACACAGCGACTTGAATGTTTAAAGTGCCTACCTCAGCAGCTTTGCATCCTTTTATTTGCAACAGAATAGCCAATTTGTATCTGGAAATCTTATGAACAAAGAGTGAAGGAGATTTTTTTTTTTTTTGCTAAGTTGTGCTTACCTAGAAGAAAAAGTTTGGGAATTGTTTGGGAAACAACAAGTTTGGGAAAGGTAACAATTTTGCAACGATCAGCTTTTCTTGTTCAATCCTATTTATCCTTTGAAAACTTGAATAGATTCTTATTCTAAAGTTATTCATAAGGCAGGATGGACATGGAATAT